CCTCAGAAGATCAACACGTCGCAGCCCCACCTAGGCACAACAGAGAGGTCAACACGCCAGTCTAAATCCTATGCACGTAGGGGTCTGGGCCCATCGCCCATTGCACACCTGCATGTTGCGAGGGCGGCCGGAAGCAGACCTAGCAACCTCCATTACAAAGGAAGTCACGTTACGCGGTCCAATCCGGCGCGCGCCGCTCCGTCGCTGACGTCAAGAAGGCTTCGGCTGATACCACAACGTCGAGTGCCTATATCTTTCCCGCGTAGTTGGTTAGTGCGTGTAGGCCAGTGGCTAGACTTAGATCAAATACCAAGATCTCGTTAAGCTTGTTATTATGAAGTAACCGTAAACATCGACCAGGGCAAGCCCACCTCTCGCCTAGGTGGTCTCAACCTGCCCTGTCGCTCCGCCACATAGTAACAGTCGGGGGCCGTCGGGAACCCAGGCCCACATCTACCGGGATGGAGCCAGCTGTCCTTCTAGCCCCCACATGGGAATCACTTACGGGTACTCAACGAGCTGACCCGACTTTAGTCACCATCTGTATAGTATGTATATATGTATAGTATATACCCGTGATCACCTCCCAAGTGATCATGGCCCGATAGTATAGCAAGGCAGACTGACAAGAATGTAGGACCAATGATGATAAACTAGCATCCTGTACTAAGCATTTAGGATTGCGGGTAAGGTATCAACGACTGTAGCAACAATGACATGCTATGCAACAGAATAGGAGTAACTGAACAGTAACATGCTACACTACTCTAATGCAAGCAGTATAGAGAAGAATAGGCGATATATGGTGATCAAGGGGGGGGGGGGCTTGCCTGGTTGCTCTGGCAAGTAGGAGGGATCGTCAACACCGTAGTCGTACTGGGTAGTAGCGGCGTCGGTCTCGGTGTCTAGCGAGAGAAGAGGGGGAAGAAATAATAAATATAAAAGCAAACATAAGCATGACGATGGATGACATGACAATATGCGGTGCTAGGTGTACCCTAACGCGGTAGGAGGTGGTACCAGCGAAGGAGGAAACATCCGGGAAAGTATTTCCGGTGTTTCGCGTTTTCGGACAGATGAACCGGAGGTGAAATGTTGCAGGTTTGCTATGCTAGGGATGTGTGGCGGGCGAACAGACTGTTTATCCGGATTTGTCTCGTCGTTCTGAGCAACTTTCATGTACAAAGTATTTTTATCCGAGTTACGGATTATTTTATATGATTTTCTAAAGTTTTAAACATTTTTAGAATTTATTTAATTAATTTAAACTAACATTATCCAGAATAGTGTTTGCTGACGTCAGCATGATGTCAGCAGTCAACAGGGGGTTGACTGGGTCAAACTGACATGTGGGTCCCATCTGTCATCGACAAAGTTAACTGAACATGATTAGTCAATTTAACTAAAGTGATTAGGTTAATTAATTAGGCTTAATTAGATTAACTAACATGATTAATTAAGTTAATTAATTAATTATATTGTTTTTTTTAATTCCTCTCCTTTTTTATAAAACCGTTCTGGGGATGGCCCCACTTATCATAGGGCCAGTGGGCCTTAGCGGGCATGGGTGCTGAGCGCTGGATGCTGGGTGCCGCCCGAATGTAGGGGCGCCGATGTGCGGCCGGCCACCGTGGGCGACGACCGAAGGCGGCGGCAGGAGGCGGAGCCGGGGGGCACTAGGCGAGGACGTGGCCTCTCGGGGCGCCGGCGCGCAACAGGAGAGGCCGGTGCGGTGCAGCCCCGGTGCGAGGCAGGGGCCGACGAGGTGCGCGGGCGGCGAGGCAGGAAACAGCGGCGGCGGCGATTGCGGGCCACGACGAGTAGGAGTGGGGAGCGCGGCTGGTGGCACTCGCAGCGGCAGGGAGGTCGCAGGCGCTAGACGGCGCGAGGGGGCAGCAACAGGGTCACGGTGGTGACATCAGAGCCGGTGGGAGGAGGCCATGGCCATGAGCGCGTGCGCGCGAGGAAGAGAGGAGGATAGGGTGAGCTCACAGGGGGGTCATAGGGGACTAGGCAGCGGGGGTCGTGGAGGATGTCAGGGACGATGTGCGGCGGGGCGACGAGGTCCGGCAGCGGGGTGAACGAAGGTGATGGCGTCCGGCGAGGTGTCTCCGATGACGGGGCCCTAGGCGGCGGCGACGCGGCGTTGGCATCGAGGCGAGGAGGAGGCCGTCGGGGAGGAGATGAGGAGGCGTCCGACGAGGTGAGGGCGGAGACGGCGAACGGTGGCGTCGGGGGTCGGCGATGGGGCGATGGGATCAGGCCTCGATTGCC